ATAGCGGTTTCTTAACGTACGCGTGCTCGGAACTGATGATTAAGTAGTTTCAACGTCGTCGGCGACACGTGCAAAACATTGTGAGCGATCTACGTGGTGTCAGAGTTCAGCTAGTTGCGATAGGAAGAATGCGTGCAACATGGCACCGATGGAAAATTACGGACGCGGGTCGGCTGTCTCGAGAAGTGACCCTTACATCCAAAATTGGAGAATTAGACACAAACAAGAGAATCAGGAAGGTACTATGTACATATGATCCGTCATAATAAATACGATTCAGATTTTTCTGAATATTCAAAAATACGTGAATTATTCAAAATAATTGCTCCTCGGTTGCTCATATGTATAAGCTCCACACCCGAAAAATCTAGTTTATTTAAATTTACAAATTTATCAATTCATGTTATTCGGATTAGAACGGTGCGAGTATAAGAAAAACATATTATTTTCGCGTGCTTTGTAGTCACATGCGTAATACATGCATATTTTAAAATGGAAATCTTTAATCCTGGAAAAAGTACTTTTAAAACTTCGTTGATCTGTGTGAAGAAAGAGACTTACATATTCGAAATAAATAAGGATATTTCTCACCGAAAAATTAATAATGTATAAGATTTTTAATGTAAATTTTTTATTGTGTGACTATAAAATACAAGCAAAAATAAAAATGAGCAAAAATAATTTCATTTTTTTTCTCATTTTTATTTTTATTTTAAGTAAATTTTGGTACATTGTACTGTGTTATCATCTCTGTAGAGTAATTAAATTTCTTGAATCCACGGATTTATAAAAATTAGATTTTTTGGATCGTTAAAATCGGAATTATGCGATTGTTCATACTTGGATAAATGGATGAAAATAATTTCAGGTAATTTAGTATTAAATTATTCGGATATATATATAAGTTTACGGCTTTAGTAGTAATTCTTCTCTTTATACGTCATTTCTGTTACAAGAAGACGCAAATATAAAAACAAGGAAAAACAAATCTAACTGAACAGAATAGAACTGAAAGACTTTTCTCTTTCTTTTTCTAAATAAATAAATAAAATAAAGATAAATAAAACTGAAAGCAAACCTGCATACCTATAAAAAGCTACATTCCGATCAATTCTTACATTGATTAATCTCGAAAGAAACTCAAATTCAATATCTAATAATATTATATAAATATATACAATTAATACTATAAAATTAAATTTAAAAAATATTTTATTCGATATTTTATAAATAAAACCTCCGATCGTTAATACAATATTAATTTTATTAATATATGTAAACTCTCGTGTATAATTTTTTGACGCATATTTAATCGTGAATAATTTTCATCCTTTAACTAATCAATTTCGTATAGTAATCCGCACGTGTTTCAAGCATCGCCACAAAATGGCGCCTCTGGTCAGAAGTGTTCTCTAATTTTCTCCGACGATAGTTCTTAATAATAGTTCTCGATCTTGTGATCGCAATATGGAAGTATATGATACCGAAACCGGCCAATGAGGAAGCAACTTATTCTCGGAGTGTGGAGTCACTTTTCCTTGGACCTGTTCGTCACCGACGCGACGGCCTGCAGTTTTCCCGGTAATGCAACGAGCGCGAACGAATATTTGAGCGCGGTTTCTGGGAATGCGCGAAAAAAAGGATAACTGTTCAGTTATGCGCATTATCTTGGAAACAATACTTCCTGGTAGCGGAATAATGCACACGCAAATTCATCGCGATGTTGCGAACGCTTCCGTTTGGTAATTTTCTTAACTGATGTTTGACATTTTTCTAACGATCGACGTTTGGAGTTATTTATTATGAATTGTCACGTTCATGAGTTAGGTGTTTCATAAATCAGCGAAGGAAAGATTAATCTTTCAAAATAAATAATATTTTAAAATAAATTTCTATGTAGAAAAAAGAGATACTTTGAAAGGATATGTGACAATATTTTTGTTATATTTTTACTTTCTACGAGAAAAATCATTCCTTCAATTTACTTAACGTTTAAAAGCTTAAAAGCTGGCGGGCTGTTATCAATTGAATAATCTGTTTAATTTATGTTAATTATAAGCAGAAAGATCTTCGAAACTGACTAGAGAATTGTTATCCGAAATTATTCAAAAGAATTTTTCTAATGTTTTGATAAAAATCTTCATATACACAAATAAGACAAACACGGGTGAGATGGCTATAGAAGAGAGATGGCTCACCCATGTTCTCTCAATCTAGCTCGCCATCTAGTATCGAGTAAACACACTAAAAAAAAAATGTATTAATCCCAAAAAATATTTAGTTTGATACGAGCAACTAAACATTTTAATTAGTTTATCTAAACATTAGTTAAATTAATTAATTCTTGATTAAAAAATTTTAAAGGTTGACATGAATGCACCATACCTTCTTTAGTGCAACTTAATAATTGTTGAAAAAACTAATGTTTAGTTAACTAATTAACATGTTTAGTTGCTCGTATCGGACTAAATATTTTTTTTGGAATTAAGAAATTTTTTTCTCAGTGCATGAATAGGCCATCTCTCCTCTAAGGTCATCTCACCCGAATTTACCCTATATCGTTTTTATTTTTGAGATTTTTTAAATGAGAGAGAAAGAGAGATGACAGAGTGATGACTTTTTTTAAATAAACAGGAAGACCGAGCGAATTTTACGCGCTTGATAAGATACTTATCTAAGGGAAATCGAGAAGTGTTGAGCGTCGGTCGGAACCGTCACCGAATGCAGAGATAGAGCGACAAAAAAATACATTATTCAAACAAATTTCCATTCGAGAGAAGTCCGGGTAGCTACATCGTTAGGTTGCTCTCTCGCCGGCGCTTTAATGACGGTTTGCTCCCTTTGCTTTCGTTTCTTATAACGAGGAGTTTCGACGTCGTCGTTACGCGCCGTATCACTAGCGAACGACGACGTCGCGGTCAAAATCTCTCTCGCATCGACCGTGCGTGTTGGAGAGCACTTGAGGAATTCACTCCAGCTTCCGACTTAAAACGTGAGATATTTTTAAGGGATTTAATTTTATATGAATTTCTGTGTTTTACAGGTATTTTGTACGCACGCGTGCTTGCGAGTAATGCGAGTGCATGTGTAATTTAAATCGAAGTGCTTGAGAATAGAAATGCATAACATTAATTGCCTCGTTTATAAACTGTAAATTTGATACAAAAGGTTGCAATCGGTATCAGAATATCAGATAAAAAAGTCTACTGTGCGTAAGAAGAATTAAATTGCACATAAGTGAAAGAGGAAGGAAAAAAATGTTGAAGCTTTATTGCACGTAAATCCGTCCTTTATAGGGTCGTATATAGATCTTCTATTAAATTTATAATCAAAAATTCAATAATTGAATCGTGGCCTTCTATTAAATTTATAGTAAAAAATTCAGTAATTGAATTGTGCATTTTTGTATAATAATATGTCGAGCAAACGGCAAATTTAATCAAATAATTTTATCTTTTAAATTTTGTTCGATATACGACTAACCATATTTAACATTTTTTGCAATTTATGAATTCTATTTCCTTATTTCCTTGTTTGAGATATTTTTATTACATAGAATACATAGATATAAACCCGCGAATTTAACGTGACGGTATAGGCTCTTCGAGTGTAAGTTTTTTGTCGATTTATACTTTCGAAATTTGTCACGTGCCCGCAAAGTTATGGAAAATTAAAAAAAACATTCGTAGTCTCGATTTTATGGATTAATGCCATGTGTCTATAGAGACGGTTCTATTTCATCTGGGAAAAAATGTAATTCGGCTTGGAAGCTTCGAACGTGATTTCGAAATAAAGTCACGACCGCCAATATTGCAAGACAAATAATTGCGCCTGCAAAATTCCGATCTCTACGGGGCCAATGACACACCCGGTTATCCAGGGCGATTTACATGAAACGTAAAAAATTGTATGAAATTTTTACAACATTGCCTGACACATCGGGTTCAAGCAACGTCGAGTGTAAAGCATTATATTCATATTATTTTAGAAATAATAAAATATAATTACAAATATATGAATATTTGCATATCATGTAAATTTCATAGCTTATAATATGAGAGAATATAATATTTTCCAGCGACGATATTTCACAATAATTGATATTTATTAGCAAAGATATATAACGGATATAAGCAAATAGAGAGCGTTCCTGAATTGCGAGGAAGGTGTGATCATTTTCTGTATATATATAACACAAGGACAAGACGAGGGCAAACGTCTATATTTTCCAATCCGATTATCAGCAATGCGATATCAGGTGTTACAGGATATCGGCATTTCTGCCGGCGACATTAACGATGACGATGAATTGCGATTACGGCGGGCGTGGACTCGAACTCCGCGTAGCGGAGTTAAGTTAATTCAGCTGGGTACGCTGATAGCGCGACTACTTTATGCTGTCGTTTATGCAATTCGCGTTATTGCTGCATCGATTTTACATGCACGCGGGTAAGTTGCGCATGTCTAGTCTCCCCGGTCGCGAGCACAAACCCTTAATGCCACTCTTGACGTATTAAGTTCTATCCTTAAGAACGACGTACGTAAACATGCGCGATAACATCGAGGAATTACGAGTTACCTTCCCTCAATTTTGATCAAGAATGTAACGTTACATATGCAAGAAGATACATATGTATATTATATTATAAAATATAAAAATATATATATTCTTTTGGATAGAAATATTGTATGTTCTTTAGTTTTGAAAATTCGAAGTTTCTTAAAGTCTGAAAAATCTTTAAAACTTCATCAAGAAATAACAAAATGTATAAAGACAAATTTAAAATTTAATCAAAATGTAATTAAATTTAAGAATAGAGTTTTAAAAAATTAAATGTTGCTAAGCAAATTAAAAGATGCTATTTATTTATTTATTTATCTGTTTGTATATGACAGTTATAACAATGCTATTAAATTACGCTAATAAAATCCTAATAAAATTCGTTAAACACATTCGTTTGACACACATGTTTCACGAAAATTATTCCTTTTATTTGCAGACAGCAGTCCTCTCTCAGACACATTGGATCTGAGTTCGCATCATCCGCATCATCATCATTATCATCATAACAATAACAACAACAACAACAATTCGAACGGCATCGCTAGCTCCACTACATCCGGTGGTTTGCAAGAAATCGTGATGAAAGAAAAAAGCAAAAACGCAGCGCGGTCGCGCCGCGTTAAGGAGAATCAGGAATTTTTGGAGCTGGCGAAGCTGCTACCACTTCCAGCTGCCATTACTACACAACTGGACAAGGCCAGCATCATCAGACTGACCACAAGTTATCTCAAGATGAGAGCCGTCTTTCCTCATGGTAACGAATATGCCCATTTGGTAAATCTTGCTTTTATTTGTTATAATCGAGTTTTTTTATATTATCAAATCGAATCAATATATAGAATAATGATTAATAAATAATAATATACTTATCGGCATAAGTTACACTGTTAAATTCGTTAGTGTCAAATTGTAACCAATTTGAGTCATTTTAACCATTCCCATAGATCGCCAACTCAATACGTGCTCCAACTCAATACGTCGTTAATTTAATTAAAACAATATTAATTCAACTAAACCTACTAAAATGGAGTTGAAATAATACTGTTTTGTGTTAAAATAGTATATTTCAACCCACATGGTAGTTAAAAATAACAAAATGTTATTTAACTCAAGGCATTGGTTTAAATTTCATCCTTTAATATTTAACGGCATACAATGTCACTTGTTTATCGAAATCAATCTGAACCTACCAGAACGATTGCGTTATCCAAACTCCATAATTGAGCATAAATAGCCGCAAATCATGCCTTTTTTTATCTTGCCGTTGTTATAGGGCTGGTATGAATTTAGCAACCGGACACTTACGCGCAAAGGGCAAATAGTATCGGATGAGATGGATGTGATTGCGCACTTAATGCATTGTTAGTTCCCAACGCTTTGTAAGCAAAGCATGGGGGCCGTTATAGTGTTACAATGGCCTCCCTCAGTTCGATTCCCCCTCTCACGACATTGGCGAATTGAATTTCAAGTGGCTGCATCCCTCTAGAACGATTGTCCCGTCTTTATTCTCGGGTAAAAAGAGACACGGCGTCCTCACGACGACGCTTTTAAGGGCGCTTCCTCGCGCGCTTTGTCGAAAAACGAGCGTGAAATTTCTCGAGAGGCCGATCGCCTCGTCGATTATTACCGCAAGATTAACCCTTCACAATTCAAAACAACCGGCGGAAATCGATATTAAATGAGACGCGTTGTAATGTCGCTATTTTAAACTTCTCATCTATGATTTATTAATAAATATGACGATTTCTGTAACAGTGATGTTTAAAAATAATATCGGTGTTACGTCAAATCTCGACGAATCTATTTTTAATAATTCCTCACGTTCTATCCCAAGCTTCATGCTTGTTATGGATTCCAATGTAAAATTCTCGATGTAACGCGGTGATAGCGAAGGATATTGAACTGAGACAGTTTCTTTCTTCGAGATGGATCGAGCTGTCTGTCAAACGTGCGCCATTGTACGCAGGCATAATAATAAAGATAAAATCGTAAAATTTCTGACACGTGTAGTATATTGAAACAGCATGATCGACGATTCTTCCAAGAAATATGTCAGTCGATAATCAAACTTGAGAGAAACATGCTCTAGAATACACGACGTTTGAAATGTCACACTCAAATATGAACACATAGTACGTGACATGAATGATTCTACTGAAATTTACTTCAGTATAAAAGCGAAAGTGATTTCTCTTATCAAACTAGATTTCGGTTTCTTCTAATTTTGACGGGTATTTTTATACGTTTTGATAATTCAAAAGCCGGTTTTTAAATTTGCGTGTCTCTTAATCTTTCGGTTTCTGACGATTAATGTGTCTTAAATAATACTTAAGAGAAATAAAAACGATTTTTTTTATTGAACATTGTTATTTATGAAAATTAGTAATGATAACTTGAAAAGTGTAAATTCAGTAAAATTTGTATATGACGTGTATGCGTCATGTTCATTTCTACCAATGTAGATTAACTTTAATCTCAGTTTAATTTACTTTTTGCCTTTTTCTAGTTCTAAAAATTAAAAAAAAATATAAAAGTGAGTTACACCGAGATTAAAGTTAATCTACATTCGTAGAAATGAATCAGCAGTCGCAATAATCAATACATTTCACCAAGAG